CCCAGGGATGAGGGAAATTGCAGAGAACATAAGTCTTCCGAGTGGATCCTGTCCCTCACCCATCCCTACCCTATAAGCTTTCATATTGCAGAGTGCCTAATATCCAAGTAGTTAGAAACATTCTCCTCTTGTTTGGAGGAAGAAGTCCACTCTCTTTGGCTCCATCAGAAGGCAACTCAGATATCTGAGAAGGCAGCTCTTCATTCCATCCTGATAAATCATTTGATCCTGGGCTTCCCTGGTGGCTCAGGCTGTAAAGAATCTGCCTGCAATGGAGGAGACCAGGGTTCACGCCCTGGATCAGGAGGATCCCCTGGAGAGGGGAATGGTAACCCACCTCAGTATTCATGCTAGGAGAACTCCGTGGACAGAGGAGCCTGGCAGGTTACAGTCTATGGAGTCTCAGAGTCAGACATGACTGAGCAACTAACACACACACACACACACACACATGTTATTTTATCCAAAGCACAGACATCAGAAAATTCAAACTGCTCCTTTGATTTCTATCAAAATACCCAGATATAAAGCCACCGGGTCTCTCATCCCCAGCACATGCCCTTCTGCTTTCAGTCTTTCTCAAACATGGGCCCAAGGATTCCCACCCAACAAGCTACAGTCAGAACGTAAGGCGCCCACATAAGCAGTCTCCAGCAGCAGTTATCTCAGGGATGCCAAGTGCTCTTAGGAAGCTCCTCCCCAAACGAGTGTGTGGTTTATCCAGGCAAAGAAGCAGAGCCTCCCCTTGAACTTGCACACTGTTGATAGAGTCGATCAGAAGCAGCTCCTCCCCAGACAGCATCCTAAGCTTATAGCTGGCCTCCGTGAAAAACCTTCATGGATGATGACAAAGACGGTTAGGATGTTGAATGGTCTGTTTCTCCAGCTTTCTCTAACCTCTCTTCCTAAGACCAAGATTTTCCTGTTTCACAATTTGTCCAGATCCCTCCATTAGGTCTGAGAAGAAACTACAGTTGACCCTTGAACAACGCAGATTTGAACTGCAAGAGTCCACTTATACACAGCTGTTTTTCAACAGTAAATACTATTGGTGATTGGTTGTTGGTGGAATCTGGGGATGCAGAGAAACCATGGGCAGACAGCCAACTGTAGGGGACTAAGAGTGAATGTCGCTCAGTTGCGTCTGACTCTTGGCAACCCCACGGACTGTAACCCACCAGGCTTCTCTGTCCAAGTAGTTCTCCAGAAAGAATACTGGAGTGGGTTGCCATTCCCTTCTCTAGGGGATCTTCCCAACCCAGGGATCGAACCCAGGACCCCTGCATTGAGAGTGTGGCATCTTAGCCACTGGACCAGCAGGTAAGTTTCCCATGTTGATTTCTACCTTTAATGATCCCGGGATCTTCCCTCCTACCCTCATTGGGCAAATCTTAGTCCTTTTATTCCTAAAACAGAGCCCTCCTGGGTTCACGTCACTGAGATGCCCAGCTGTTCCCACAGTCAGATAGGCACAAAAAGTGACAGACCGCTCTTGACCTGAACTCTGCAACCTCCGTGGGCACAGGTGGACTCAGGGATGATGGGTCCTCCCCGAGGAGCCCCCAGCCAGCACTGCAGCACATTTAAGAGCCACCTTTGCATCCAATTTTCCTAAGAGTGTTGCAGAATCGGATTGCCACACACCTTGAAAGGTCTTTCAAGAGCCTGTTCAGTTGATTAGAGTACTGGATGACTTAGCAAAAGTCACACTTTTATTTCAACTACATCTCATCCTGATGAAAAAAGCACAGCTGGAGCACGTGGGCATCATAACAGACTAGGAATGGTAAGATCTGAGTTCAGGGGCCCAGCTCCATCAGCCACCATACTCGGGAGTGCCTTGTTTTAGACTGAGGCCTCTAAGTGGAAACTCTCTTATTGGTTCAGACCCAGAGGCACCTATAAGTGGATATAAGTAGTCTTTAACTAGCTGCATCCCCTGGAAACTTTGAGTTCTTATTTCCTCAACCGTTAAATAAGAATAACAAGCCCAGCCTGCCCACCATGTGGGCTGCTCTGCAAGCCGTGAGTTGATGAGTGAGAAAGCATCCTCTGCCCGGGGCATCTGTGCAGGGATGGGGCGCACCTGCAGAGACGCTGCCCAGGGATTCAGCTCAAAGCACAGAGGCATTGTGAAATCCTGCAGTGGGGTCAAAATTAAGCACACCACAGTTTTTCCCCTCGAAGTGCTTGTGAGTGACATAAAAGGAGTAAAACTAACCTCTGTGCTGTTCAAAGTGAAAGGAGAAATAAGTAGGACACATCTGGACAGTGGGACAGAAAGAGGCTTACTTTAAGCCTCATGTATAAATTGTGTTTATAAAAATAAGTTTATATGTATATTTCATGTTATATATTATACATATTCCTTATATATTAATGTGTGTGTGCGCTTAGTCACTCAGTGCTGTCAGACTCTCTGCAACACCATGGACTGTAGCCTGACAGGCTCCTCTGTCCAGGCAAGAAAACTGGAGTGGGCTGTCATTCCCTTCTCCAGGAGACCTTTCCAACCCAGGAATTGAACCCAGGTCTCCTGCATTGCAGGAGGATTCTTTCCCATCTGAGCTACCAGGGAAGCCCATATGTTAGTACATCTGTCTATTATATATAATGCATATATCACATGCATGATTACACATGATATGTAATGTGTAATACTATGTGTGCATGTGTGTCTATGTGTGTATATATGTATATGTGTATGTGTGTGTATATATGTGTGTATGGGCTTCTCTGATGGCTCAGATGGTAAAGAATCTGCCTGCAATGCGGGAGACCCGGGTTCAACCCCTGGGTTCGGAAGATCCCCTGGGGAAGGGAATAGCGACCCACTCCAATATTCTTGCCTGGAGAATTTCATGGACAGAGAAGCCTGTCAGGCTACAGTCCATGGGATCACAAAGAATCAGACACAACTGAGCGACTAACACTTTTACACTTTCACATGTGTGTGCACACGTATAAGTGTGTGTGTGTGTGTATGCATATGCATGCATGTGTGTGTGCTTGTATGTGCGTGTTTACGTGCATGTGTGTGTGTGTGTGTGTGTGTGTGTGTGTGTGTGTGTATGTAACGACTTCCACAGGAGGGATAAGGGAAGCAGGAGTAGAAAAGGTCCCAGGAGGCCAAAGCTGTACTGTGGGGGTGAAGGAGAAAGGCCACAGGCCGACTTGATGGTCAGCTTCTTTTGACTAAAATCTGGCAACAACCCACTTCTTCCATGCATGGAGCCCAGGGTTAAAGCTCTGCAGGGAAATATCAGGGCTGGGACGGGGAGGGGAGGACATGGTGAGCATCTTCCTAGATGAGCATCCAAGCTGATACTGAGTGTGGCATGTGTACGAGGGAGCAGTTACTTGCTAAACAGTGTAAGACACATTTGGACGGCAGTGAGAAGGCTTCTGAAGATGGAAATCCCTGTGATGAAAAGGACAGGCACCATTATGTGACCATAAAGGGTGTGCTGCCACCCAGACACCATTATATGACCTTTATATTGATACATATTCACTCAGTTCATCTGAGTAACAGCCCCCATAATAAATGGTTCCAACTACTATGTGGATGAGTAGATAGCAGAGTCCATATTCTCAACCGCTACACATGGTGAAGTTTTCTTAAGTTTTTTCTGCAGCATAATTATCGAGCAGCACATTCATTCCCTCGTTGCTGCACCCGCTGCACCCTCAAGCCTCACCACCAGCTGCCTCTTCATCAGGGCATGGCTCGACTTCTGTCTAATAGGAGTAAGGGCGGGTTCCATCTTTGGCCAGAATAAGGTAATGACCTCCCAGAAGGTCAGAGGTCCACACCTATCTCTTATGTCTTCCTCAACACAGGACACAGGGAAGATTCTCCCTTCACAAGTGGGTAAGAAACTAGGCCTTGACGTAACAAACACGAATTTTAGCATCAGCTTTGCCTCTTATCAATTGGGACTTTGGCAAACTATTTGATCTTCCTAAACTCTCTTATCCTCATCTGTGAAATGAATATAATAATAGACACCACTCACTGGGTAAAGCTTAGCACAGCGCCTGACACATAGTAAGACTCAATAAATGTTGGCTGTCATGAATAATAATTCCTTCTTCCCAGTCACTGATTGAGTCTCCCCTCTTAGAAGCTCATTCCCTCCCTTGTCTCCAGGCTTTCCTGGTGGCTCTGATGATAAAGAATCTGCCTGCCATGCAGGAGACCCAGATTCGATCCTTGAGTCAGGAAGATTCCCCTGGAGAAGGAAATGGCAACCCACTCCAGTATTCTAGCATGGAGAATTCCATGGACAGAGGAGTCTGGTGGGCTACAGTCCATGGGGTTGCAAAGAGGCAGACACAACTGAGTGACTAACACTTTCTAACATTCCCCTTGTCTCCAACGATCGTCCTCAGTAAAGGGTGGCATCAGACTCTCCAACTGATCAAATTCCAATAGATCTCAAAGAAAGAGAAGGCACCCCAGGGGCGTTAAGAAATGGGGAAGGTGCCTAGCAGAATGGACAGAAAGAGTGGCATTTAGCAGGTTGGGTGTATGCATGCATGCTCAGTCCCATCTGACTCTTTGCAACCCTATAGACTGTAGCCCACCAGGCTCCTCTGTCCATGGGATTCTCCAGGCAAAAATACTGGAGTGGGTTGCCATGCCCTCCTCCAGGGGATCTTCTTGACCCCGGGATTGAATTCGCATCTGCCTGTGTCTCCTGCAGTGCAGACGGATTCTTTACCCACTGAACCACCTAGCCCAATAGATTGGGAAGCCAAGGTGTAGAATATCCTGCAGCTCACAGGACTGCCCCACACAAAGAAGGACTTTGACCCTCAAAATACAGAGAGTGCTTTCCCTTGAAAATACACAGCACTGCTTGGAAAATACTGAGTTGACCGAAAAGTTCCTTGGCCAACCCAATATTTACATATGTAGGACAGCAGACTAAATCAATCCCATAAACAGACCAGCAAGGTGAGATATCCAAAATCACTTAGGAAATCACCGGTACCTCCGGATGGTTTCAGGTGGCTCTGCGCGGAGGGGAATCTGCTCGGCCAAGGCCAGGGTGTCCTGCAAGGTCTTGGTGACCTCCTGCAGCTCGCCCAGGGACAGTCCTCCCACGAGGTCGCAGCCCTGCCACGGGAGAAGCCGCTGCTGCTCCTCTATTTCCCATCTCAGCTGTTGATCTTTTGCTTCCAGAACAGACATCCTGGCTTGGAGGGTCTCAATTTCTTTCTGCGGAGAATGGAAAGAGCAGGTTTTGTAAATCAACCCCATTCATGGTCGCCTACACTGCTGAGAACTCTCTCTTTACAGGAGAGTTCGCCACATGCATGAGAGCCATGACACTCCCCTTCAAGGCAGGCAGATTTTTGGAGGTTTGCTGAACTGGAAAAATCAAGCCAGCTTTGTATTTCTGATTAGCTGGCATAAGGAAAAAGTTTCCCTCCCAAGCATTAAATAACTCTGGATGGTGAGCCAAGAATTAGACTTGGAAGAATCCAGCAAATATGTAAACTACTTACTTCATTTCAGGTGACAGAGCCAGAACACAGTGCAACAAGCTTCAGGGACTTGAGATACCAGCAAAGCAGCTAACATGACCGAAAAACAAAAAGCAAACAAGCCTTGGCTGGTCTGACCCCAAACATGCAAATGTAGCATGCAGAGAAAGATTAGAAGTCAGAGTTTCTTAAGTCTACAGGATTGAAAGAACAATGAGATGCCACAGATAGGGTTATGCAGTCTAAGGTTCATAAAAATATTAAATAATCAATAAATTCTTTATGATTCATGAAAAAAATATTAAATAAATTTAATTTCCACTAATATGACAAACCAAATCCCAAGAATTGAGTATCATCCAATCTTGAGGTCAATGAACAAAACGAGCAGCAGGTTGCTCTGAATGCCCACTGTGCACACAGTGTTAAGGCAGATAATCGTCTCAGTGCCCATAGCATCCTCAATCTCCAATGAGACTCTTCTAATTAACATACGCCCAGGTTTCCTAAGCTGACAAAAGCACAGCTCTAATACTGGCTGTCTCCCCATCTCACCCACATCCTCGCAACCCCAATGTGCCGACCATCCTACCTGATCTACCTGCTGACCCCTCCTCCAGTAGGGGAGGGAAGAGACACAGGAGGAGGTATTGAAGATCCACGGCTAAGACATCCTAAGAAGACAACAGCGTGTATCCCACTGGCCCAAGATTATAGTATCACTGACAGGGTCTCCCACCACACCTCCCTACTTCCTACCTTTGAATACCCATCCCTATTCTTTCCTTTTTTGTTTGTTTGGGTTTTTTTTCAACTGTAGTAAAACATAGGTAATAGAAAACTTACCATCTTAACCATCCATCTCCAGGATTCTTTTCATCCTTCCAAATTGAACTCTGACCGCCCTCTCCGCCTGCATTCAGCCTTGGAAGCCATCTTTCTAGTTTCTGTCTCTGTGAATCTGACTCCTCCAGGTGTCTATATGTGGAATCATACAGTATTTGTCCTTTTGTGGCTGGCTCATTTCACTTAGAATAATGTCCTCAGGGCCCATCCATGCTGTAGCATGTGTCAGAATTTCCTTCCTTTTAAAGGCTGAATTTATCATTGTATTTATATACCACATTTTGTTTATCCAGGCATCCCTGGTAGCTAAGCTGGTAAAGAATCTGCCTGCAATGCAGGAGACCCTGGTTCGATCCCTGGGTCAAGAAGATCCCCTGGAGAAGGGACAGGCTACTCACTCGAGTATTCTATCTGGAGAATTCCATGGACAGAGGAGCCTGGCAGGCCACAGTCCATGGGGTCGCAAGGAATCAGACAGAACTGAGCAGCTTGCACTTTGCTTATCCATTCATCTGTGATAGACACTTGGGTTGTTGCTTCCACCTTTTGACTATTGTGAATAATGCTGCTGTCGACACATTTTTGAGTCTCTGTTTTCAATTCTTTGGGGTCTTATACCCAGAAGTGAAACTGTTGAATCACACGGTAACTCAACTTTTAATTTTTTAAAGAACCACTATACTGTTTTCCACAGTGGCCCTCTACCCTATTCTCACACAGAAGTCAAAATGACTTTATGAAATGTGGTCAATTACATCACTTCACTGGTCAACCAACCCCACTCCATGGCTCCCATTCCAGTCAGAGAAAAGCCTAAGACCTCACAAAGGCCTGCTAGGCACCCCCTGATCACTGATTTTCTCCTCTTCTCTCCCAGCATTGTGCCAAGAATGCTTCCTTCAAACACTCAGTATATGCGTGTGTGCTAAGTCACTTCAGTCATATCCAACTTCGCAACCACCTCTGGACCGTAACCTGCTAGGCTCCTCCGTCCAGATTCTCCAGGCAAGAATACTGGAGTGGGCTGCCATGTCCTCCTCCAGGGGATCTTCCCAACCCGGAGATCTAACCCACATCTCTTGTATCTCCTGCAGTGGGAGACAGGTTCTTTACCACTAGCACAACCTGGGAAGCCCTCAAACGCTAAGTAGCCTGGGCTAAAAGTATGTTCTGTACCCTCTGATATCACCAGGAATATTCACCTCCAGCTGGTGAATATTATCCAGAATCAAAAATCAGACTTCACATTTTCAGCTACCTGAACTTGCTCTACAAGTTTGCTCAACGTGGTGAGTTCAGAGTGTGAAAGCACCAGTTTACTGGAAAATATGTTCAAACTGGAAAAGGAAATGGCAACCAGTATTATTGCCTGGAGAATTCCATGGACAGAGGAGTCTGGTGGGCTACATGTAGTCCATGGAGTTGCAGAGCCAGACACAACTTAGCAACTAAAAAAACATTTTCAAACCTCATGGCTCAGAGGGTAAAGAGTCTTCCTGCAATGCAGAAGCCCTGAGTTCGATCCCTGAGTCAGGAAAATCCCCTGGAGAAGAAAATGGCACTCCACTCCAGTATTCTTGCCTAGAAAATCCCATGGACAGAGGAGCCTGGTGGGCTACAGGGCTACAGTCCGTAGGGTCGCAAAGAGTAGGACACGACTGAGAGATTTCACTTCACTTTTTTCAAATTGCAATGATGTTTGCCTCCCTTTGCTGCCTTGCTATCATATGGAATTGGAAGGGTAAACTCATAACAAGAAGATTCTGCATGGGAGTTGGGGGTTTCCAGTAACCTCTCCACGCCCCATTCACTTGTCTAAGGCCACTCGGCTGTTTAGAGGCTAAGCCACACTGTGGACGCACGTGTTAAAGAGCTCTGCGTTTTCCAGAAGTCCGTGTTTCCTCACTGCTCCCCAGTCAGGCTTAAAATCCTCTAGGCTTGGGAAGGTGTGGACAGAACTTCAAGGCTCCTTGCTTCTGAGGGGCCCTGTCAACTTCTGGCTATAACTCAGAGTTGCACCAAGATTTCCAGCCCCCCAAGATTCTCAGCCAACTTGCATCCACTGCTCCGAGACAATCCAGAGCTCCCATGAAGCCCAGTCATTCCCAGTGTTTCCCAGTTCCGCCCACCTTGCCCAGTCCCCACTCACAGCTCTGCCTCCTAACAGTTCCTACCCACAGTCCAATCTGATAGCAGTTTCCATAAAGGATGGTCACAGCTCAGATTTTTTTTTCTGCCTTCTGAAAGAAACTTCTCAAGGACAAAATGATAAGAGGTGACAAATTGTCTTGGCACACAAGGAAGGCATATTCAAAAGATAAAGCGTACTAGCAAAAACAGGCACAAACACTGCTGAACTTCCAACCTCTTGTTTGTAAAAAGACTCCAACAAGCCCTCCAGTTGTCTCCACCCACACTCTGCTTCACCCCTCCTGGGTGCACTGCCAAATCTCTAAGGGCTGCATTCAAGCAAAGACTCATTTTATTGCATTTGGCTCAGATGTGTTAGAAAAATGCTGTCGCGTCATAAAGACTTTTCACCTGCTCACCTGTAACTGCTGCTTTTCTTGGAGAAGCCAGTCTCGCCTGGTGATGGACACTCGCAAACTGTCCTGAGCAGCGGCTTCCGACATCTGTGGATCCATTCTCAGCCGGGCTTGGGGGTCGTCACTGCCAGCTCTTAAAACAGACACACATGCACATACACACACATACACACATATATATAGGCACAGATATGAATGACCTGAAATTTTCAGGTCTACATGAATCTTAATGGAAAGAAGAGTCACAAAGTGGCTCCTGGCTGCCCTCATCCTTAGAAGGGTCACAGGGATGAGGTCCCAGTGTATGCTTTTGTTTGAATGATAATCTGTTGGGACTTTAGCAGTTGCCTATAGTCACCTTGCTTTATTGGACTGCACACTGTCCGACTCCATAACTATGCATGTAGCTATCTGCACTGAAAGTGTAAAATACCCATCAGATATTAAAGACTTAGTATGAAAACAAAGAATGCCAAATATCTCATTAATGATATTTTCACATTCATTACATGTTGGGATGACAACTTTTTTGATACACTGGGTTAATTAAATGTATTTCTTAAATTAATTTCACTTGTGTTTTTCTTTTCCTTACATTTATAAAATATGGATAGTAGGGATTTCCCTGGTGGTACAGTGGCTAAGAATCTGCCTGCCAATTCGGGGGACATGGGTTCGATCCCTGCTCCAGGAAGACCCCCCATGCCAAGGGGCAACTAAGCCCGTGCTCTAGAGCCTGTGAGCCACAAGTACTGCACCCATGTGCTGCAAGTACTGAAGCCCACACACCTAGAGCCCATGCTTTGCAGCAAAAGAAGTCACACAATGAGACACCCCTGCACAGCGACTAGAGAGTAGACTCTGCTCACCACAACTAGAGAAAGTCCAGCAACCAAGACCCAGAACAGTCAAAACTAAATAAAAAACCTCTTTTTTTAAATAAAAAATCTTAATGTAGCTACTATATTATTTAAAATCACATATGTGGTTTCCATTGAACAGCATTGGACAGCTCTGCCTGGACCCATCCAGAGCCAAATTCCAGGGCAGATCTTGGCTGTGGACAAGACAGAGAGGGATGGCTGATTTGAAGATGTTTGGGTCAGAGCTTCTCAGAAAAAGTGTGCTAGAAGACTATCAAAAGACCACTTAAAATCTGTTCGGCTCTTTCTCCTACGCTCACAGGAGCTGGTATATTTGGTTGAAGCCACACTGGTGAAGATGTGGCTCAGGCTGCCACCTTACACGGGTGAGATGCCCTTGCAGAAACCTCGCAGGTGTTTCTCGTCAAAGGATGACAAATCAATTTCTAACTGAATGCAGTAGAATGGGGGGAAAGTCCACCCTAAGCAAAACTATGTCAACAATTCAAGGAAACAGTGTCTATGAAAGCACCATCGACTACAATTAAAAGGCAAACAACAAGGTGGGGAAAAGGAAATACTGCTAATGTCAAGAGTGCTAGCAATAGAAGAAGAAAAAGATGAGTACATCTATCAGAAACTAAAAAAAAAAAAGAGAAATTATGAAGGTTTGTCATCAAAAATGTTTCCAAAAGCAAATTCAAACAACATAAAATATCATTTTTCATGTAACAACTGACAAAAGCTTTCAGAAACCATAATTCCTTGGTGAGCACAGGGAATAAAAATTAAATCCAAAACATGCCTTTGGATCCTCTTGTCCAGGTTTTAAAACTTAGTTATATGCAAACTGCCTGTTCATACTATTCATGGGGTTCTGACCATCCTTATGGCAGAAAGTGAAGAAGAACTAAAGAGCCTCTTGATGAAAGTGAAAGAGGAGAGTGAAAAAGTTGGCTTAAAACTCAACATTCAGAAAACTAAAATCATGGCATCCGGTCCCATCACTTCAAGGCAAATAGATGGGGAAACAGTGGAAACAGTGTCAGACTTTATTTTCTTGGGCTCCAAAATCACTGCAGGGGGTGACTGCAGCCATGAAATTAAAAGATGCTTGCTCCTTGGAAGAAAAGCTATGACCAAGCTAGACAGCATACTAAAAGCAGAGATATTACTTTACCAACAAAGGTCTGTCTAGTCAAAGCTATGATTTTTCCAGTAGTTATGTATGGATGTAAGAGCTGGACTCTAAAGAAAGCTGAGTGCCTAAGAATTGGTGCTTTTGAGCCGTGGTGTTGGAGAAGACTCTTGAGAGTCCCTTGGACTGCAAGAAGATCCATCCTAAAGGAAACTAGTCCTGAATATTCATTGGAAGAACTGATGCTGAAGCTGAAACTCCAATACTTTGGCCTCCTGATGAGGAAAACTGACTCATCGGAAAAGACCCTGATGCTGGGAAAGATTGAAGGCAGGAGGAGAAGGGGACAACAGGGGATGAGATGATTAGATGGCATCACCAACTCAATGGACATGAGTTTGAACAAGCTTTGGGAGTGGGTGATGGACAGGGAAGCCTGGTGTGCTGCAGTCCATGGGGTCACAAAGTGTCGGACACAACTGAGTGACTGAACTGAACCGAATATGTAAATAATTACCGCCTGCCATGCAGGAGACTCTGGTTCAATCCCTGGGTCAGGAAGACCCCCTGGAGAAGGCAACCCACTCTAGTAGTCTTGCCTAGAAAATCCCATGGACAGAGGAGCCTGGTGGGCTAGAGTCCATGGGGTCGCAAAAGTCAGAGACAACTTAGCAACAAGCAATAACAACAATAATCATGGGTGTGCATAAATAGCTACAAAAATACCACAGTCCTTAGTAGCCCAAACCAAAAACACTGCAATTGTGGCCCCGAGTTAGGACCAAAGCAGTAAGCCATGGTACATCCACCCTGAGCAGGGCTCTGCACCGACTAAAATTAGGTCAGCAAAGAAGATTAAATTGCATGGAAAATGTTCACTATTTATGGCTGTTTTCTAAAGCAGGCATTTGGTAATCCATATAGCATGGAACAACTATTCTAAAAATAACATATATTAAGTAAAAGATAGGAAAATATCTGCCAAAATGTTACCAGTTTTTACCTCTGTGTGATGAAATTACTTCTTTTGGCCAATCTTTTATTTTCTAAATTTTCTATAATGAGCATGTATTATTTTTACACCTATAAGATATAAACAATAAAATGAAAGAAAGTCAATAACATAATAAAAATGTCTTCTACCACATACACAAGTAGTTGTATCATTAAACATTCTAACATATCCAACCTTTTCTGGGCCTTGGACAAAACAGACACGTATGCACCAGAAATAAATCCGATCCATACATTAACAATCAAGGGCATCTTCCCGGCAGGGAAGCAGGTCGCGCTGATGGGTGTGAGGCATCAGCCACACTGTCCGCTCTTATGGGGCTTCCTTCCACACACCCTGAGCGTGGCTGCCACATTGACCTCGGGGTCCCTCACACTGAAATGGGGGAAGTGTGTGTTCTGATTTGTACCTTCACGCAGGGTCACACAACGTCCATTTTTCTTAGGAAAGAAAGAGATTAGCTAATCCAAATATGTGTGGTTATTTTGTCCATTCCTTTTCACTCCTACCAATCTGATGCACTCATTCATTCATTCAGAAAAAGAAGAACCATTCTCAAACCCGTTTACTATGTGCCATGAACTGTGCTTGGGGCCATAGACACAGCAATAAACAAGGCGAGCAGAGGTGAGCGATAAACCACAGCCATGGACAAACGTTCCTCCCAAGGCTCAGACACGCTGCAGAAGTGGAAAGGTAGAGGCTATGCTCCCACTTCCTACATCTTAATGTGGCCCTTACAAAACAAGGAGGCCAGCCAAGCCCTGCAGTGAGGCAACCCTGACATTCTTAGAAACAGTGGTAGAAAACATGTCACCTAGGGTTTTCTAAGTTAAAAACCAGCAGCCTCAGAAAAGGGAGCCTTGCTTGCATTTCTGGGCCTGACACAGATTCAGACTCTGAATAATCTCTGAAGCTGCTTACTTATTGCAACATACCACGCAATTTAGAAGCTTATTTTAAGACTTGTTACTCTGTTTCATGTGTGTAAAGGCAAATTACAATGGCAGTAGTAGTAATGAAAAAATTTAACTGGCAATAACAAAATAATCCAGTATGAACTGAGAACTTACTGTCCACCAAGTGTTATCGATTTTGCCAACAAGGAAACAGAGCATCAGGGGGGCTTGCACAGGTTGCTCTGGTGCAACCAAGCAGGACCGATGGGGGCCTTTCCAGAACAGGACGCCCCCTACCATGTCCTCCAACTCCCACTTGTCTGTAGAAACAGACTTTAGTGAAAGAATAAATTTAACTGGAAAAAAGAAAATGCAGAAAGAAAGGGAAACAGTCAAGCAAAATAATAATAGCTTAGCCACTAAACTAAGTCAACAAACTAGTTCCTCTTCCAGAGCTATAGATAATACTCTGAGCCATGTCTTTTGAGATGTTCTGCAGAGACTGAATCCTCCACCAGGTGGAAGAAGTTAACCGTGAGATGCCCACAGGCATGTAGACCCCAGACCAGTTGGAGCCAGAAGGTTGATGATGTTGACTCCTGACTACCTCACCACCAACCAATAAGAAGGATGTCCATGAGCTGATCACACAACCCATAACTCCCCCTTCCTCGCCCTGTCTTTAAAACCCTTTCAAGGTCTTCAGGGAGTTCAGGGGGCGTTCAAGCCCTAGCTGCCTGGCCTCCTTGCTTGGTGCCTGCAGTAAACACTGCACTTTCCTCCACCACCGCCAGGCGTCAGCAGACTGGCTTTACTGCACAAGGGCGAGAAGGCCCAGCACCACCCTTTTCTAGCCCTGTGTCCTTGGAGTTACTCACCCTAACCCTGCCAAACCTCTCTGAACCTCACCTCCCTCGTTTACAAAATGAGGATGATGGTGACGATCCTGATGTCGACAGCTTCCTTCCCTGTACAGCAGATTACAGGGATCAAATCTATTCAACAAACGACCATTGAGTGTCTACTGTGCAGACTCTGCCCTCTCCTGGGACCTCTGTTCTCTGTCCTCGGGGAGCTGGCTGCACCCCCTCCCTGCCCACATCAACGTTTGCATCAAGAGAGTGAATGCTGTGATCACATCCAGTGGACACACTGTCCTGTTTAATGAAGAGTAAAGATGAGGTGTTTCTGACAACCTTTCCAGGTATCAGAAGCGGG